GTCCCGGTCATTCCGGCGCACAGAAAATACCTGCCTTTTTCTTTTCAGCAGACTCAGTACCAGTACAACCGTCTGCCTTTTTTCGGTTACGCACTTTTCTCAATATGCGTAGAGACAGCACTGCAGCCTCCACGCTCAGCGGGAATGAGAATCCTGTTTTATCTGGACGATTTGCTCCTGCTGGCTCCATCCAGACAGGAAGCAGCGTCACAGACGGATAAACTGTTAGCACACCACAGGATGCTGGGTTTCTCCATAAACTGGGAAAAGAGTTCTCTCATTCCGGCCCAATCCATCACGTAGCTGGGTGTGGATTTGAACTCTGTCACCATGACAGCTCATCTGTCTCTAACCAGGAAAGAGACTCTGCTGTCACTGTTAGCGCATGTCAGACCCCGCAGGTCGGTGACAGCTCTAACTATCATGCGTCTCCTGGGCATGATGTCAGCAGCCCACGCGGTAGTTCCGCTCGGGCTGCTGCACACACGACGTTTACAGCGGTGGTTCCCCCGGCTAAAGATCGATCCGATACGCCACAAGYGCAGGATCGTATCGATCCCCTCCTCAGTGGAGGCAGATCTGAGCCACTGGGGGAAGCCACACAACACTGTCAGCAGGAGTCCCTCTGAGCAGAGCGACACATCACGTGCCGGTCTTCACAGACGCGTCACTGTCGGGGTGGGAGGGGGACATGTTGTCCCAGACTGTGGGAGGCCGCTGGTCTGCCCACCCTGTCCCCCACATAAATGTTCTGGAACTTCTGACTGTGTGGAAAGTGCTTGTGCATTTCATCCATCTGGTCCGGGACCAGCATGTTCTGGTCCACACGGACAACAAAGTGGTAGCGGCTTACATAAACCGCCAGGGAGGGGTACGCTCCCGGCAGCTGCTGGACACAGCCAGAGAGCTGCGCCTCTGGGCACACACCCACCTGTGCTCAATCCGAGCGGTCTACATTCCGGGTGTGCTGAACAGAGGGGCAGACATCATGTCCAGGGGGGGTCCCCAGGATGGGGACTGGGCCCCGCACATGACCATAATTATGCAAATCTGGGACAGATTTGGCAAGGCGGAAGTGGACCTGTTCGCCAGCAGAGAAAACGCACAGTGCGACCTCTGGTTTCTCCCTGAGCTCACGGGACGACCCTCCTCTGGGAGTGGACGCCTTTGCGCGCCGTCCCTGACCGGACAAGCTGCTTTATGCCTTCCCCCCTGTCCCTCTGATCCCGCGTCTACTGGATCGGATCAGAACGGACAGCCGGCGGGTTATTCTGATTGTTCCCGAGCGCACGGGAGCGCACTGGYTCCCGGTCCTCCAGTCATTACTGTCGGGCCCCCCGCTCCAAYTYCCCTGGCAGGAGGACGCTCTCCTGCAGGCGGGAGGAGCGATCAGGAGTTTTCCGAGACTGGGCCAGCCCCTTT